CTTTCACTTCCTTGGTTAGAGTTACCCCAAGATATTTTATGCGATTTGTGGCTATCATGAAAGGTGATGTTTCTCTGATTTCCCTCTCTGCTTCTTTATCCTTTGTGTATAGGAGGGCAACCGATTTTTTGGAGTTGATCTTGTATCCTGCCACATCTCTAAAGGTGTTTATCAACTGTAGGAGTTCTTTGGTAGAGTTTATGGGGTCGCTGATGTACACTATCATATCGTCTGCAAATAACGAAAGTTTAACTTCATCTTTTCCAATTCGAATCCCCTTGATCCCCTTATGTTGTCTTATTGCTATTGCTAGAACTTCAAGCACTATATTGAAGAGGAATGGTGAGAGTGGACAGCCTTGTCGTGTTCCTGATTTTAGTGGAAAGGCTTTGAGTTTCTCTCCGTTCAATTTGATGTTAGCTAACGGTTTGCTGTATATTGCTTTTATTATATTTAGGTATGATCCTTGTATCCCTAGTCTCTCCAACACCTTTATCATAAATGGGTGTTGAATTTTGTCAAATGCTTTTTCCGCATCCAATGAAATGATCATATGGTTTTTTTCTTTCAGTTTATTTATATGATGGATTACATTGATAGATTTGCGTATGTTGAACCAGCCCTGCATCTCTGGGATGAAGCCCACTTGATCATAATGGATAATTTTTCTAATGTATTCTTGGATTCGGTTTGCCAGTATTTTATTGAGTATTTTTGCGTCAATGTTCATGAGTGATATTGGTCTGTAATTCTCTTTCCTGGTTGTGTCTTTGTGTGGTTTTGGTATCAGGGTTACTGTAGCTTCATAAAAAGAGTTTGGCAGTGATTCTTCTGTTTCTATATTGTGAAATACATTAAGGAGTATAGGTATTAGCTCTTCCTGGAAGTTCCGGTAGAATTCTGCATTGAAACCATCTGGTCCTGGGCTTTTTTTGGTAGGGAGATTTTTAATAACAGCTTCTAATTCTTCACGACTGACAGGTCTATTTAGATTGTTCACCTGGTCTTGGTTCAACTTTGGTATATGGTACTTATCTAAAAAAATGTCCATTTCTTTTACATTTTCCAACTTTGTGGCATATAAATTTTCATAGTAAGATCTAATGATTCTCTGAATTTCCTCTGTGTCTGTGGTTATGTCCCCCTTTTCATTTCTGATCTTATTAATTTGCATGTTCTCTCTCTGCCGTTTGATTAATTTGGATAGGGGTTTGTCGATCTTGTTGATTTTCTCCAAGAACCAGCTTTTTGATTCATTGATTCTTTGGATTGTTTTCTGTGTTTCTATTTTGTTGATTTCAGCCCTCAGTTTGATTATTTCCAGTCTTCTACTCCTCCTGGGTGAATCAGCTTCTTTTTTTTCTAGAGCATTCAAGTGTGCTCTTAAGTCTCCAATGTGTGCTTTCTCAATTTTCTTTAATTGGGCACTTAGTGCTATGAACTTTCCTCTTAGCACTGCTTTCATAGTGTCCCATAGGTTTGAGTATGTTGTGTCTTTATTTTCATTAAATTCAAGGAAGACTTTAATTTCTTTCTTTATTTCTTCCTTGACCCAGGGGTGATTCAGTAGTTGACTGTTCAACTTCCATGAATTTGTTGGCTTCCTGGGGGTAGCACTGTTCTTGAATTCTAACTTTAATCCATGGTGGTCTGACAAGACACAAGTGGTTACTAATATTTTTTTTTGTATCTGTGGAAGTTTGCTTTGTTACCCAGTATGTGGTCAATTTTCGAGAAGGTTCCATGAGCTGCAGAGAAGAAGGTATATTCTTTCCTATTTGGGTGGAATGTTCTATAGATGTCTGTTAAGTCCATTTGATTCAATACCTCCAGTAATTCTCTTAATTCTCTGTTAGGTTTCTGTCTGATTGACCTATCCATTGGAGAGAGAGGAGTGTTGAAGTCTCCTACTATTAGTGTGTGTGGTTTTATGACTGCCTTGAGTTCTAGAAGTGTTTCTTTTACAGAAGTAGGAGGCTCTATATTAGGGGCGTAGATATTCAGGATTGAGACTTCCTCCTGATGAATTGTTCCTGTTATGAGTATAAAATGTCCATCTCCATCTCTTCTGATTGATTTTAGTTTGAAGTCAATTTTGTTGGAGATTAGAATGGCCACGCCTGCTTCTTTCTTAGGTCCGTTTGCTTGAAAAACCTTTTCCCAACCCTTTACTCTGAGTAGATGTCTGTCTTTGTGGTTGAGTTGTGTTTTTGTAAACAGCAGAATGTTGGATCCTGTTTTCGTATCCAGTCTCTTAGTCTGTGCCTTTTTATAGGTGAATTGAGTCCATTAATATTAAGTGATATTAATGACCAGTGGTTGTTGACTCCGGTTATTATTATTTTTTGTTTGATTAATAGAGTTTGTATGTGTCCCTTTTTTGAGTCAAGCTCTTGAAGGGTCGCTAGATGTCTGAGTTATTGTAAGCAGTGCTGGCAATGTTGGACTCCTTTGGTTGCAATTTTCCTTCTATTACTTTCTGTAAGGCTGGGTTTGTGGCTGCAAATTGTTTAAATTTGTTCTTATCCTGGAATATTTTGTTTTCTCCATCGATAGTGAATGATAGCTTGTCTGGGTATATTAGTCTGGGCTTGCATCCATGGACTCTTAGTTTCTGCAGTACCTCTATCCAGGACCTTCTGGCTTTCATGGTTTCCATAGTGAAGTCCGGTGTGAGTCTGATAGGTTTACCTTTATAAGTTACTTGCCCTTTTTCCCTTGCAGCTCTTAATATTCTTTCTTTAATCTGTATGTTTTGTGTTTTGATTATTATATGGCGAGGGGATGTTTTTTTTTTTTTGATCAAGCCTATTCGGTGTTCTGTATGCTTCTTGAACCTTCATAGGAATATCATTCTTTACATTGGGAAAGTATTCTTCTATAATTTTGTTGAATATATTTTCTGGTCCTTTGATCTGCAGTTCTTCTCCTTCTTCAATCCCTATTATTCTTAGATTTGGTTTTTTTTATTGTGTCCCCGATTTCTTGAATGTTTTGTGATGAGAATTTATTGGATTTGGTGTTTTCTTTGATCAGAGCATTTATTTTCTCTATGGTATCTTCAGACTCTGAGATTCGTTCTTCCATCTCTTGTATCCTATTGGTTATGCTTGATTCTGTAGTCTCTGTTCGTTTACCTAGATTTTCCATATCCAGCCGGCCCTCGTTTTGTGTTTTCTTCATTGCCTCCATTTCAGTTTTCAATTCTTGAACTGTTTCCATTACCTGTTTGATTGTTTTTTTCTTGGTTTCCCAGTATATCATTCATGGATTTACTCATTTCTTCGATGTTTTTTTAATATTTTTCATCCATTTCTTTACTCATTTCTTCAATCTTTTTTTATACTTCTCATCCAGTTCTTTAAGGGAGTTATTCATATCCTGTTTAAGGGACTCTATTGCTTTCATAATGGCATTTTTTCCCGCTTCTTCTGAAGTAAGAGGTTCAAGTCCTTCTATTGTAGGGTCATTGGGTTCTGATGTTTTCATGTTGTTTTTTAAATGCTAAAGATGGATGCCCAATGATGCAGTAAAACTTTGGGTGACTGTCCAGGTTGTGAGATGTCTCTATCAATTCTAGAGTTTTGGAAGTTGATTATAATGTACTTCCTATTTACTTAGGTAATATATCCTTCTGAAGTCTTTGATGGAGTTGAAGAATTTATAATTATAGTCACAGTTTTCCTAGTTATTGTAAATGATAAAGTAGATATAGTGTAACTGCAATTCATTCATATCTTCTTTTTTTATATGGAATTTTACTATGTTAAAATTAAAGTGTTCCTTTTTGTTTAAATAGAAAAGGGAAAATGATATGGGAGGTCCTCCTGTCTATTTGTTGCTTTTATTGGTTAATGAATAAAGAACTGGCTTTGCCTATAGCATGAGAAGAGGAAGGCAGAGTCAGGAAGAAGCAGTGGAGATGCCACCAGAGTCAGACAAGCTGAAACTTTACCGGTAAGGCAGGTTGCAATACACAGATTAATAGAAATGAGTTAAATTAAGATGTCAAAGGTGGTCAATAAGGAGCTAGAGCTAAGTTTCCAAGCAATGTTTTAATTAATATAGTTTCTGTGTGGTTATTTTGATTCTATGTGGCCAGGATGAACAAGCAGGCCCTGGTCCAACACATATTTTACATACATAAATTTCAAAGTATGCTGAAATAGAAATATAAGTAATAACTTGAAAACAAATTCAAATTATTACTAATCACTTGGATTAGAATTTAATTTTCAAATTCTTATTTGCTTACAAAATGTATTGGTTTTGTGCTCACATAATTTACAATTTGCTATGATGGGGCACTCAAAATTACTAGCATATATTATCAATTAACTTTTATAAAGATATTTAATATTTATATATTTTAAGACTTTGCATAATACCTTATAATATCTCCAATATAACTGACTTCATGCAAATAATGAATATAAATATGAAACTTTTCATATCTCTAACCAAGAAGAATAAAAATGTATCTTTTTTTGTGAGGAAGGGAATGCCTTTACTAAGTCACAAAACTTTGGCAAGTCAATACAGTACCCGTTAATACAATAAAATACGATTTTGCTGGAGTCATCATATATTACCTTAGTGTTAATTTTCACTCCAAAAATATAATTTAAATACCAAATCCAAACTGGTTTCCAGCAGGGCAAGTTATTTTATACAAATTAATGTCATCTGAAATTATACAATGTCTCTTTTTAAAGTGAGTTCCTCACGCAGGAGGTTCTAGTTCACCGCGTCGGGCAATTGTGTGCACTCGAGGGCAGCCGGCTTTTGTTCTGGTTGGTCCACAGCCACGCAGGGCTTCAGTACCTGAAAGGCTAAGATTCTATACCTAAGGAGACTCGAGACCAACATCAATTTCTTCTAAGCACTTAAACAACAACAAACAAGCCTGTGAACTGTCCATGTGAACACAAGACTCCAGCCAGCCCCTCAAGCCCTTCCACCTCAAGACGATCACTTTGACTCAGACCCTCTCCATCTTTGGTTCTGATCAAAAGTCACAGCCTTTCCCCAGCTTATTAAAATAATAATAATAAATCTACCTAAAGTAGCTATATTCTTTTAAATAACAAATAAATATGATGTCAGCTTGAAGAGTCCTGGGGCCCTGCAGCTGCACACCAATTTCCATTGTCATTTTTCCACCAACGCTGCTGCGGCCGCCATTGGGGTCCTTATGCTTCCTCTGGCTGATGCTGTCAGTTCTTCAATCTTGGCGTTCAGTTTATGGATCACCCATTCCATTGCTTGTCGGCCTTTGTTAGCGTTGGGAGATATGGTGCTTGCCATAAGTCCTTCAAGGTAGCTGCTGAGGCTGATCCCTTTCACGGTGATGATGGCTTCCTGGGTCAGGACAGTTTTCTCTGGGTGCTGGGGGTGCGGCTTGTATGTGAGCCTCTCGTCCACTGAGACCATATTTGTAAATGAGATGTTGGTGGACCTGAGCTCCAAGGTCTTCTTTACCGGGTCAACTACAGAATGTTCCTGCACGTATGTTTTCCTTCTTGCTGCACCAATGAGAGACTTCACAATGGAAGGCAGGCCCCACTCTGTGCTGAGGAGCCTGTGGCTGTGCAGCTTTCCAGAGGGATCGACATGTCTGTCCAACACGTCAACGCCAACCACGCTTGGATTCATGGGGTTTGGGTATTTCTGCATTGCAGCCGTGGTGACCGTTTCCCATGGGTGGTCAAAGACGTGCTCGGAAGTCCAGATTTTCATGGTGCCAGCCACCCGCCCAGTGTCCCGCGGCGTCCCGGGATGAGGAGGCACAGAAGTTCACCGGCCCCGCCACGTCCCGGCCGGCCGGCCTCCTAAAAATGTATTTTAAGTCATAAATCTGATAAACAATAATATGCTAAATACATTTACAACTTGTAGTCTATAAATATGCATCTGCATTTTATCAGTTGTAGCAACAATTATTATAGAAAGCATTAAAATTTTAATAGATTCTTGATGACTTTCAGTATAGTTTAAATATGTCTTTAATATATTATAGATCACCAATATAAGTTTATCTAAGTATAAAATGTGTAAAATAGTAACAATATCATTAAAATCATCCATTACCGAATTTTAATGAATGTTCATAGTCCATATTTTTTCATGGTCTCAAAGTATCTCTTCTTAATTTTATATTTTTCTACTTTGATCATAAATGATAAATAACTTCTAGAATTTATATGAGGTTTTATTATATGTCTTTTTGTTTTATTTATTTTTCTGTAAACTTGAATTTATTAAATATTTATCAAGAACCTACAAGTATGCTGGGCCTAGGAATATATGTACCAACAAAAATTAAGTAATTACTGTTCTTTGTACTGGAGAAATGGCTCAGCTGTTAAGAGCACTTGTTATTGCATATGAAGGGGTTTCCATTCCGAGCACCCACATAAATGCCCACAACTATTGATAACTCCAGTTCCAGGGAATCAAACCCCCTCTTCTGATATCTGTGGGTACCAGGAAAACAAGGGGTACACAGGCATACATGCAGGCAAAAGTGTCAGACCCATAAAATAAAATTTAAAAACTATAAAATTTATTCTTCTTGATGCAGTTACTATAGCAAGGTCAGTTGAGACTCTAGACAAAGGTTACAAATACAGTCAACTTCATTCTGATGCAGATTTCATCAGTTTTTCACTTAATATCCCTTTTAGATACAGGATCCAATCCAAGTTTCCTCATTTTTAGTTACAATGTTTCCATAAGACCTTCTAATCTGTGACAGTTCCTCTAAGCTTCATAAGTGAATAGATTGTATCTTTTTAACTGCTAACTAATTCTGGTCAAATAATTGTAGAATGAATCCTAGTTTATATTTTCCTTCAATTATACTGAAGTCATAGTTTTGGATTATAAATACCACATGGTGATAAGCTCTTTCTGTAACATCATTTTAATTGATGGTACAAAATTTGATCAACTAACTTAGTTAAATGGGTGTTTACCATACTTATTTACTCCAAAGATATTATTCATTCACTCATATTTGTGTCATAAAATACAACCTGTAGACAATAGCATGAACATTAAACCATACATTAAGAAGCTCTCTAAAATATATGGATGAACACAAAGACTACAACAGTAATTTAATTTAGGAGAAAATACTTAGGTTTATGTAAATAGATGATTGCAAATTAATTTTTATAGTCGAACTTGCTAGTTAATATAGTTGTATTCATTTTCTTTTTTTTCTCAAAGTTTATTAAAATACAAAAGCCTTCATTTCCGCCCCTCCTCCCAACAACTTCCCACTTTAATCACTCCCTCCCCTGCTCCCTCTCCATTCCCAAGAGCAGTCAGAGTCTCCCGCCCTGTGGGGAGTTCAAGCTCCTCCCCCCTCCCTCCAGGTCCAGGAAGGTGAGCATCCAAACATACTGGATCCCAAACATCCAGTATATGCAGAGGAAACAAGTCCCAGTGTCATTGCTGATGACTTTTCAGAAAGACTCGGGGCCAGTCACATTCAGAGAATCTGGCCTCATTCACAGAATCTGACTGGATCACGTGCTCGCTCAGTCCCAGTCAACTGGCCTTGGTGAAATCTCATTAGATCAGTCCCCTTGTATCAGTGGGTGATCTCACCCCTCGCGGACCTGATTTCCTTTTTCATGTTCTTCCTACTTCTGCTCCTCATTTGAACCATGGGGGACTCAGTCCGGTGCTCCAATGTGGGTCTCCATCTGTATCGCCATCCATCATCAGATGAAGGTTCCCTCTGATCTTGCCTTCCTTGCTCACGTTCTCTTTCCTTCTGCTTCTCGTTTGGACCTAGGGAGTTAAGTCCAGTGTTCCAATGTGGGTCTCCGTCTCCATCTCCATCCATCGCCATATGAAGGATCTGTGGTGATAAGCAAAATATTCATCAGTATGGTTATGGGCCAAGGGCAGTTCAGGCACCCTCTCCTCTGTCCAGAGAACAATCTGGAGATCTCTCCTTGGACCTGGGATCCCATTTATAATCAAGTCTCTAGTAAACCCTAAACTGACTCCCTTAGTTGAAATATTCTTCCCTGATCCCATATCTATCCTTCCTCCTTCCCCCGCTCCCAGTCCCCTAAGCATTCCCCATTCCTCCCCTGCTCCCTTCTCTCTAACCCTCTCCCCTTCCAACAACCCTCCCACCCCCCCTCCATGCACCCGAGGTTTCCTGGGACTCTTGTCTATTTCCAATCTCCACGAGGAAAACTACCTGAATTTTCTTCAGGTTCACCCTCCTATCCAGCTTCTCTAGCATCACGAATAATAGGCTCAAAGACCTTTAATTATGGCTAGAATCCACTTATTTGTAAATATATACCATATTCCTCTTTTTGGGTCTGGCTTACCTGACTCAGAAAAGCATTTTCTTTATTTTTTTAATTTTTTTTTACTTTTTTTATTTTATTATTTTTTTTATTTTTTTTATTTAATTATTACTGGGAACCCCTCCAGAATCAAGTCTCTTGCAAACCCTAAACTGGCTCCCTTAGCTGAGATATAAATCTCCCCTCTCCCAAAACCATCCTTCCTCCCTCCCCCCTCCCATTCAGACAAGCCATCCCTAATCCTCCCCCTTTCCCCTCTCCCTGAACATCTCCCCTTACTTCTACCTCCCCCACCCCCCATACACCCGAGTTTGCCTGGCAATCTTGCCTAGTTCCACTATCCAGGGGGATAACTATATGATTTTCTTCAGGTTCACCTTCTTATTTAGCTTCTCTAGGATCACAAATTATAGTCTCAAAGACCTTTAACTATGACTAAAATCCACTTATGAGTGAGTACATACCATATTCCTCTTTTTGGGTCTGGGTTACCTCACTCAGTAAAGCGTTTTCTATTTTCATCCATTTGCATGCAAAATTCAAGATGTCATTGTTTTTTACCGCTGAGTAAAACACTAATGTATGTTCCACACCTTCTTTAAGTATTCTTCTTTTGAGGGACACCTAGGTTGTTTCCAGGTTCTGGCTATTACAAATAGAGTAGCTATGAACATAGTTGAACAAATACTTTTGTAGTATGATAGGGCATCTCTTGGGTATATTCCCAAGAGTGGAATTGCTGGGTCCTGAGGGAGGTTGACTCCCAGTTTCCTGAGAAACCGCCACACTGATTTCCACAGTGGCTGCACAAGTTTGCATTCCCACCAACAATGGATGAGTGTTCCCCTCACTCCGCATCCTCTCCAGCATAGGCCATCATTGGTGTTTTTGACTTTACCTCTTCTGACAGGTATAAGATGGTATCTCAAAGTGGTGTTGATTTGCATTTTCCTTATTGCTAAGGAGGTTGAGCATGACCTTAAGTGTCTTCTGGCCATTCGAAGTTCATCTGTTGTGAATTCTCTGTTCAGTTCAGTACCCCATATTTAATTGGGTTAATTAGAGTTTTAGTGTCTAGTTTCTTGACTTTTTTGTATATTTTGGAGATCAGACCTTTGTCTGATGAGGGGTTGGTGAAGATCTTCTCCCAGTCAGAAGGCAGCCTTTTTGTCTTACTGAAAGTGTCCTTTGCTTTACAGAAGCTAATCAGTTTCAGTAGGTCCCATTTATTCATTATTTCTCTTTTTGTCTGTGCTACTGGGGTCCTACTTAGGAAGTGGCCTCCTGTGCCTGTATATTGTAGACTACTTCCCATTTTGTCTTCTATCAGGTTCAAAATGGACAGATTATTGTCGATGTCTTTAATCCATTTGGATTTGAATTTTGTGCATGGTGATAGATATGGATCTACTTTCATTCTTCTACAGGTTGACATCCAGTTATGCCAGCACCATTTGTTAAAGATGCTTTCCGTCTTCCATTGTATACCTTTAGCTCCCGTGTCGAAAATTAGGTGTTCATAGATTTGTGGGTTAGTATCCGGGTCTTCTATTCGATTCCATAGGTCGACTTCTCTGTTCTTATGCCAATACCAAGCTGTTTTCAATACTGTAGCTCTGTAATTGAGTTTGAAGTCAGGGATGGTAATGCCTCCAGAAGTTCTTTTATTGTATAAGATTGTTTTGACTATTCTGGGTTTTTTTGTTTTGCCATATAAACTTAATTATTGTTCTCTCAAGGTCTGTGAAGAAGTTTGATGGGATTTTGATGGGGATTGCATTGAATCTATAGATTGCTTTTGGTAGAATTGCCATTTTTACTATGTTGATTCTCCCAATCCAAGAGCAGGGGAGGTCTTTCCATTTTCAGGTATCCTCCTCAGTTTCTTTCTTCAAAGACTTAAAGTTCTTGTCAAATAGGTCTTTCACTTTCTTGGTTAGAGTAACCCCAAGATATTTTATGCTATTTGTGGCTATCGTGAAAGGTGATGTTTTTCTGATTTCCCTCTCTGCTTCTTTATCCTTTGTGTATAGGAGGGCCACTGATTTTTTGGAGTTGATATTGTATCCTGCCACGTTACTAAAGGTGTTTATCAGCTGTAGGAGTTCTTTGGTAGAGTTTTTAGGGTCGCTTATGTACACTATCATATTGTCTGCAAATAACGAAAGTTTAATTTCATTCTTTCCAATTCGAATCCCCTTGATCTCCTAATGTTGTCTTATTGCTATTGCTAGAACTTCAAGCACTATATTGAAGAGGTATGGAGAGAGTGGACAGCCTTGTCGTGTTCCTGATTTTAGTGGAAAGGCTTTGAGTATCTCTCCATTCAATTTGTTGTTAGCTGTCGGCTTGCTGTATATTGCTTTTATTATATTTAGGTATGATGCTTGTATTCCCAGTCTCTCCAACACCTTT